ATATAATTTATATGAATATAAATATATACACGTAAATACATGTAAATATTTTCAAAATATATACTGAATGTGTGTGTATTTATATATAAATAATAAATATACACAGTACACACATATATTATGTAAACAAAAACTTTTATTTTGGATGCGATTAATCGCGATTAATCGTTTGACAGCACTAATTTGAAATAAGGTCAGTTAGTATACAGTAAATCCTGTACAGTATGCAGTGCACTAGTGTTCATTCCAGACACTCTGATTCTTTCCTTTTGAGAAAAGTATTTATTTTTTCTTAATCACAGAATGACACAGACGCAGCAGATGCCAGTGTTCAGACGAGAGCTTTACGGCTCTCAGAACGGCACCAAACACACGGGTTTCCACCGATTCCCACAAACCTTCACTGCCAAACCAAACGATCGCTAATGACACGCGTCCTCAGCGGCCGCCCGACTTTCCACCGGATGCAGAGCGATATTACAGCCAAACCTCTCCTCACAACAGTCCTCAAATCCACAGCTTCAGCCTGCGGGGAACATCACTAGCGTGTCAAATCTGTAAGTGTCAATTAAACGCCTCTCTCTCTCTCGCTCTCTCTCACTCGGCACACAGGAAACTCTTCTCATTCCCACTGAACTGAAAATGTGACGCCTAAAATATCATCTGGAAATAGAGAGTCTGGCAGAGATGGAGATGTGACATCTGGTGAAGGGAAGCGGGTTTCTGGTTACAGGTGCTCACAGATTTACAGCTTTGTTTTCAGGACTGAATTTGGGAGATCAGGACATCTTCACTCTGTTCCATCTCTTCCGCCGAGTAACAACAACAACAGATGCAAACGACCAACAAACCAAAGCCAAAGAAAGTGTAGGAAGTGAGAGAGAAGAGCTGATCCTCTAGGAGTCATTTCATGAAACATTAAACAGTAATTTTTACATTTTTAAATGTATTTATTTTTATTTTTATTAATAATTAGTATATACTATAAGATTATTGTATTATTTATTTTATAAAATTATAAGTTAAATATTATTATTATTATAAACTACATAATTCCAAATGATGTAATATTTAAAAAATATTTTTCTTTAAATATATAATATGAATGATTTTTTTTTTAAACTTTACTTCTTTCTTTCACTCTAGAAATTTCCATGACTTTTTAAGATTATATTAATTTAATCTCCAATTTAATCTTTAATGCAGGCTTGAAAATCACATTTCCAGGTTTTCACATATAATATTACTGCTACTACTAACAATAATAACATTAAAAACATTTGTATATTTGTATATCTGTTATATTTTCTAAATATTTAAAAATATTTTTTAAATTTTTTAATATTATAATTAAATAAAATTTTTATTATTATTTTTATTTTATTTAATACTTTATTTCTTATTTTTACTCTAGAGACTTGCATGACTTTAAGTAAATTAATCTGAATGGCTATTCCAGGCTTGAAAATCACAGTTAACATATAGTAATAATAATAATAATAATAATGTAATATTTTGTATATCTGTATTTAGAATTATTTTTAAATATTTTAATATTATATAAATATGTAATGTTTTTTTAAACATTTGGTTTTATTTTCACACTTTTTAGATTACATTTTTTGCTTGCTTCCATTCTGAGTTTAAATTCAACAAACATTTGGAACTCAAATCTGATTTTGCAAGCTCTACTCAGTGTGGTGTAAGAGAGAGACAGAGAGAAGTTATGTCAGTACCAGGAAGCTCTCCTCCTGCTGCAGCCATCTCTGGTCCTCCTCCATCTGCTGCTGCTGTTTGATGAGCGTCTCCTCCATCCCCTGACTCCGCCCCAGAGCGCCCCCATCCTGACACACACGCACGCACGCACGCACACACACACACACACACACACACACACACACGCACACACACACACACACACGCACACACACACGCACGCGCACACACACACACACACACACACACACATACACATACACCAGCAGTTAGAAGCCTAACCCTAAGCGCTCATTCACACAGAGCGTCCCGTCTCCTCGCTCACCTCCATGTTTGGAGACCACACAGGAACCTCGTGTCTGTGATGGTTCCATGCTTCATGCGGGTCGAGGACAGACGCCTGCAGCGGGAATCCTGCACCGGGAAATCCAGACCCCTTCACAAATGACAAGACATTTCATTTACATTTATCAATTTAGCACATGCTCTTATCCAAAGTGCCCCAATAAAATCGGTAAGCAAGTAAATAAATAAATAAATAAGTTAAATTTTTTTAAATTCAATAAATCATACTGTAGCGATCAGTATTATTTATATACTATTTTTATATACTGTTTTTCTAAATGTTTTTATATTTTCAGTTTGCATTTTAAATTAAATTTCTAGTAATTTTGTTATGCACTTTGTTTTTATTAGCTTTTATTTTTTTATTTTAGTTTTATTTTTTTTATATTTTCAGTTAGTAATTTTAGTACTTTTAGAACCTAAACTTATTTCAATTTTTAATATATTTCAATTTTATTATATTTCATCTTTGATTATCTTTTATTTTTATATTTTCTGTTTTAATTTCATTTTTAGTAATTTTATTATGCACTTGCGGCATTTTTGTGAGTTTTTGTTATGTGCTTTTGCCATTATTTTTTTAAATATATTTTTATTTTGTTTTAATTTCTTTTAATTTTAGTTTAAAAAAAAAATAATTTTAATATTGCGTACAACAAACTTATTTCAGTTAGTATCTAATACTCGTATTTTATTTGAGCTTTTTTTCCATTTACAATTTATATGTACATTAAACAGATTTAGTTTTATTATTAAATATTAATATTAAATACCTTTCAATACTGTACCATTGTATTTTAATTCCTTTCATGCTCATAAATGTTGCATTATGTAACTAATATGTGTTGTGAAAGCGGTTTCAGTTTATTATTAAGGCCCTCTCGCTTCCTCTCGTAACGACTAATAAACAACCTGATACAAAAATAACAGGCACTTTGAGTACAAAAGCCTTTTAAGGCATGAAGACGTGTGTGTGTTTGAGCTGAAGGAATGTATCTGGATTTATTATTAAGGCCCTCTCGCTTCCTCTCGTAACGACTAATAAACAACCTGATACAAAAATAACAGGCACTTTGAGCACAAAAGCCTTTTAAGGCATGAAGACGTGTGTGTGTTTGAGCTGAAGGAATGTATCTGGACTCAACAATAGAGCTCACAGGAAATGCCTGCTGTCAGAGACGCTCAGCGAGACACTGAGAGATAACTCAGACTCAGAGCTGAATAATCAGTCTGCATTCACTGAACACTGAAGTACATCGAGGAGTCTGAATGTGTTTGGCTCCAGTAATCAGTTTGTCAGATGTTTGCGGAGTTTTATGTGGTGTGGAGACTTTCTGGGTGTATGTTGTGTGATGAAAAAGAAAGTGTAACTGCACAACTCAGATTCTTTAGTTTATTTACTTACTGAAGCAGCGTTTTACCCATCAGCCTTTCTCAATGTACAATCGCCAGCAGGTTTATGAATAACAGGACTACTCACTTTGTAATGTTTTTTAGGGTTGGGTATCGTTTGGGTTTTTTTCGATACCGATCGCTCAGTCATTGCACCGAAATGAGGCACCGAAATCTGCGTTCGGATTCGGTTCTAGTACATACCGGTTATATAGGTGCCATATTGGTACCGGGTTTCGGTACCCAACCCTAATGTTTTTAGTGCCAGAAAAACGGCTAGATAATTACTTTTACTATGATGTAATCTTCTCCACCTGCTGGTAATTGTTGAGCTGTTTAGTCTGCTTTCTATGGCTGTGAAATAATAAGCATGTTATCAGCTAAGGACAAAAAAGAAGGAAATCACATTCCATAAAATTATTTATAAAATAAAAATAAATTAATATTGCTATTGCAATATTGTAAATAACAAAACAAGTATTCACTAATATAATAATGATGGTATTATTATTATTATTATTTATAAACCGTATAAAATAAAATAATTTTTATTAAAAGTAATATATCTATTTTTAATTATTCAATTATAAAAATTAAACCAATCAATAAAGAAATATATTACTATTGCAATAATACTATCGTACTGTACAATAACGAAACAAGTATTCATTAATATAATAATGATGGTAATATTATTATTATAATTATTATTTATAAACCGTATAAAATAAAATAATTGTATTAAAAGTAATATAATTAATTATAATTATTAAATTATATTATAATTATTAAATATAAAATATAATTAATTATTAAATATAAAATATATATAATTATTAAATTATAAAAATTAAACCAATAAATCAATAACTATATTACTATTGCAATAATACTATCGTAATGTAAAATTAAAAAGTTGACACTAATATAATAATAATAATAATACATTTTACAGTAAACAGTAAAATTACAATACTAATATGTGCGGCTCCTTAATTTCTTTGCTTTCAAACATTAAAACTATAGAGAAAGCGGTAATACAGAGTGGAAAACTGCTGGGAGACCTTACATTTTCTCTTTTGTTGACAACAGATTTATAAACAATTCTAATTACAAATTTAAAACATGGTTGCATTGTCAAATTCAGAATTCTCGTGGGTCGTACATCAGGTCAGAAAATACAGAAATCTGCACAAATACGGAACGTTCACATTATATTGCATTAATATACATTATATATGCATTATACATTCAGAAAAGCTGAAGGCTGAGATGTTTGCTTCAATAAATAAACTAATATGCCTACAAATATGAGTTGTGCAGTTGTACTTTCTTTTTTAATGCATAAACTTGCATCTCAGCATTTCGGCGTGCATTTATATTTTCATGCATTATTTGTTGTGTGTTTGCATGAAGATGCTGATGTGTGTGTAAGTCATGCTACCTGGTAGTGATTGTGCGGAGGACTAGGGAAATAACCATCGCTGGATCGAGGACTCGGGTAACCAGGTCTGCTGGGCTGTGAGATCAAAACACACTCAGCACTTAGTAAAGTAAAGACATGCACTCATCAGGGTCAGAGCTCTTTCCAAACAGATCGTCTAACACAGAAAACTCGTCACATGAATGAGTAACTGAGTGTGCAGATGCGGATGGAGATCGGACCTTCGGAGGAGCCTCGTCTGAATTCCCAGCGTCCCAGGACACGGTGACCTGTCTCCTCATCTCCATACGGAAACGCTCCTCCTGCTGGGCCTTCTCCTCGTCCAGGATAGTGCTGCAGAGACAGACAGCAAGAGTCAGCAAAGACCTCCAGGGAAGATGCTTTTAAAGAGCATTTGACAAGTGAATGTTTGGCCCGTTTCAAATCACATCCTGACAAAGACAGGAAGAATTTTTGGGGCTAGTACAGAAAATGAACTCCAACAACACACATTAATTAATGCTTCACCTGTGTATTTCATCACGCCATTGGAAATGCAAGTCTGTTCCCCACAAAATAACTACATGAGTAGCATTTTCTGACAGCCTTCATTTATATTCAATTGCACACAGATTTAGTAAAAACTACATCGTAATGCCTACATTTTCAATGTTAACATTAATTGGTTAATAAACGCAGCCCTGCATCTTGAAAATCAAAAACTGCTGATTTGCAAAAAAAAAAAAAAAAGGCCTAAAATTACCTA